TTGATTTAATTATTTAATTATTATTATTTGTATTATAATTTATTTTTTTTTTGCTAAGAAAAACAAAATTAAACATTTTATCAATGCTAAAAATTAATGTGACAGATAAAAATTAATAGTGATAATTTATTCTTTTATTGAAAGAATCTTATAAGTCCTGCCAGATGTGCATTTGCATACATTATTTAGTTATAAGAATGTTAAAATAGTTAATAATGGCGTTTTAAAATAGCTAGTATTAATTCTCCTCCAGCATGAAAGTTTTATTAATGACCCATTAGGCTTTTCAAAGCATGCCTTTGCCGGAGCTTTATTATGTATACTATTTTCTATTATAGATATAGTATAGCGTGTTCATAAATTTATTCATTGTCATCAGAAGATAAAAAAGGCTCTGACATTAAATATATTATTTGAATATTTATTAAAAACAGGTATTGAATTTAAATGTCGAAATTTCTTATAAAAATATTTCTTTTTGGTGAAACTTTCAAAGTGGTATCGAAGTCCATTATTCTTTTAAGAGCTTTATAATTAACATAAACTTACGCACAATTTCTGGTAGAGAAAATTTAAGATTCTTCCAATTCTTTCTAACTTTATTACTTTACGAGCAGCCGAATTAATTCGACAAAAGTACCTTTTTTCATGTTTAGTTATTTATAATTATGAGTATATTAATTAGAAACGAGGTGGAAGAGATGGGACGTATGTCTCACACTGTCTCGCGAAGGATTAGATAGATAAAAATTCTACCATTGTATTCATCAGTAACTAAAAAAATATAAGATTATGTATAATTTACATTATATTTTTTAGGTATATATAGAAACCTTAGATTTCTTTTTTATTCATCATTCTTTAGCATTTAATTGAAAGCAATACTGAAAAATTTCTTTTATTACTATTCAAGGGCGAAAAGAATAATGGATTCGACGTTTTATATCATAATATGAAGCATGGTGTAATCGCCAGCAAGGAATTGGCTGAATTTTTGCGTGAGAAATCAGCTATAGAAGAGAATAATTATAAGCTCCTTAGTAAGGTAGCGAAACAGGCAAGCAATAGCACGCAAGGAACGTTTGCACCTGTATGGGCTGCTCTGAGAGGTGCCGCTGAGAAACTCGCTGTTTTGCACTTGCAGATGGCCCAGCGGGTAACCGAACTTATAAAAGATGTATCAAAATACGCGGATGAACTACATAAGAAGCATAAGGCTGTACGTAATTATATCTTCTCCTATTTATTTTATATATTGGTCATTTTTCTTTTTAAATGAAATTATAAGCACGATTTTTCTCATTTATTTACGGCCTCGTAAAGTAAGATACATTATCTTTTACAATTATTATATTTTGCTGTAGAGAATATTTTATATATATCCTGTACATTATCACAGTATCCGCCCACAGTCGAATCAGTAGGTTCTCGTCATCAAGCAATTAAATCGGCTGTAGTTTAATGATATGAAAAGATCGTATTTATCACAGTGTGCACATCCATAACTAATTGTACTTGCATATCAATAAAATTTACATTAATTTAAAATTGAATTAGTTTAAATATAAAATAACATGTGCTATCTAAATATTTAGGTGAAAGAAGAAGAATCTTCTACTTTAGAAGTTGTACAGAGTATACAGAGTATTACAGTGACATTGCATAAAGCGAAAGATATGTGTTTACAAAAAGGTCTGGAATTGGAAAAGTTAAAAAAGGACAATGCCAGTCAGAGAGAATTAGAGAAGGCGGAAGTTAAGTTTAAAAAGGCCCAGGACGATTACAAGGCACTAGTGGATAAGTATACTATCATACGGAACGACTTTGAAACAAAAATGACTCAAGCTTGCAGGGTACTAATTTTGGATTAAATTGTTAAAAATTAGAATTTCATGAGAATATTGCACATAGAGACAATTAATAAAGTATATTAATCTTTTGTTATTAAGCGATTTCAAGATGTTGAGGAGATGCATCTGAAGCACATGAAAGAATTTTTAAATACATACGCCGATGTTTTGCAAACTAATCACGAGCAAGTCGGGCAAGTGCATATTGATTTCAAACGGCAATGTGTCGATATGACAGTGGAGAAATTATTAGAGCAATTCGTTCAGGGTAAATACACGGGTTTTGAGAAGCCAGGTAAAAAAATTGAGTATCTCCAGAAAACTTTTTTGCGTTTCTTGTATTCACGCATGGTATGCCTATAAATCAGGTGTGATCGAGTACGAAGAGGTCATGACAAATTTAGCCGAAATGACCAGCCACTCTCAGTCCGAAGGCGGCGTAGAGACACCTAAGGAAACGTCAAAGGGCACCAACGGCGAAACAGGCGTAGCCGGTAACAGTCATAGTTCAAAGAGAGATCAGGGATTAAAAAGGGTGGGTGGTACGTTGAGGGTACTGGACGGGGAAAGCGGGAGGGTGGTACTAGAAAAGGATAGAGAAAAAGAAAGACAGAAGGAAAAGGATAGAGAACTGTCACATGTACAAGCCACCAAGGCTTCCCGCCGTACTACCTCGCTACTCAACCTGTTCATGTCCAACTCCCAGGGTAGGTTTCTCTCTCTCTCTCTCTTTCTCTTTTTCATAAAACTTATGTAGATTTTTTCAAAATTTTGTTATTCCAACTGTATAATTTCAACCTACCTTGGCTTGATGCAATGACGTGCTACATCTTAAGCAAAAATTTTTTTTGCCACTTGTGTTTTTTTTTTTTTTGTTTTATCGATACACAGTCTCACGTAATCTTCATATAGTTACACGAAAATCCAACGTACCCTTGATCATTTCTGACAAAATTTATTCTGTTATCATATTATATAAATATTTGTACGATTTTTGAGCGATATCATAATATTGTATATGTCTGAGTAGGCTTTTGTTCTGCCGTTTTTAATTTTATATTATTAATATTGTATCGCGTTAAAACCACTCATTATACACTTGCGCAATTGAATCGCAGCACTCGATCACAGATATATCAATTCCAATATATTACAATTTTATCGATTTGTTTATGCTTATGTGGTTGTTGTGTTATATTTGCTTATACATAACGATCTAACATTAGGTGGAGGAGGGCATATAGAACCACCACTGTGTTCCAGGGGGTTTCTAGTATTAATTTTAATTTGATTACTAATTATATATATACTCTTATATATATGTGTTTGATATATAGATTTTATTTATTTCACTCGTGGGGGAAATAAGCAGATAAACAAAGCAAAAAATTAATTTGTTTGTATAGTCAATTATCATGTGTGCAAGCGAAAAATTTATTAAATATGTTCTTTATTTTTTTTAACAATTTTATATATTTGGGCGCATAATAATATCACTTTTCTGTATCGAGTATTGCTATGGTCATACATTCCAACGAATAGTATTATATGTGGTTATTTAAAGCTTTTCTTATTCTTCTGAAACGCTCTTATGCCATTGCAAAGATCATTTAAATTCCAATCCGTGCAACTAATGTACATAATAGTGCAACATGGAGAGAAAAATGAGCGGCCAATTAGCGGGACAGTATTCAAAGATGTGAGGACGATGAGTGTTGTTTCAGAAAAACAGAGGCAAGCAGGGTCGTCTGGTTCGGCACCTGCCACCCCTCAAGGGAACAACCTGCCTCCTGCTGTTCCACCTCCCAGCATCTCCAGGAACCCTCTCAGAGGATCTAAATGTAACAGTTTACATTATGATTACTCCTGTACCCCCTTTACCATACTTCCTCTCATTGTTGTTAGAATACAACAAGCTTTAGAAAATAATAGCTAAACTATATTGTTCAAATTATTAATAATCCATTTTCTATATATATATTAGTTAAAATATGAATGGTCAATTATTACTTTCTGAACGTATATAAAAATATTTATCCTAAAAATATATATTCCAGATATTTAAACTTATTCCGTTCTATTTAAATATTAAGATATCTTTTCTCGTAACTTATAATGTGATATGACCAATCTTATATATATTCTTTTATATTCGAGCATCCTCTATGCAAATCTTTATCTATAATTTTTCTCTATCGGTTGTTCTCTCTTTACGGTGCTCGGTGACAGTGATACATCACTTCTTTTTCAATATCTAGTAACAAACTCCGTACTCGATTTTTGCTAATATATACGATATAATTAACAAATATCGTACTTTCGTGCAATTTCTATTTATTTTTTCTTCTTTCCTCTTGTTAAAGATATTTTAAAAGTATAAGACGCGAGAAAAAAATAACTGCATTAAATTTTATATTTATTTTTATAATAATGTCACGTTTTTAATCTTTTTTTTATCCAAATTATAATAGCTAAACTATATTGTTCAAATTATTAATAATCCATTTTCTATATATATATTAGTTAAAATATGAATGGTCAATTATTACTTTCTGAACGTATATAAAAATATTTATCCTAAAAATATATATTCCAGATATTTAAACTTATTCCGTTCTATTTAAATATTAAGATATCTTTTCTCGTAACTTATAATGTGATATGACCAATCTTATATATATTCTTTTATATTCGAGCATCCTCTATGCAAATCTTTATCTATAATTTTTCTCTATCGGTTGTTCTCTCTTTACGGTGCTCGGTGACAGTGATACATCACTTCTTTTTCAATATCTAGTATATTTTAAGTCAGAACAAGACTTATATAATACCATTAAGTAAACTATACCTGCTGACTTACAGTGGTTGCGCGTATTATGGTTCCTCCACTCTGCACTCTTTTAGAACATCAGTGTATGTATACTAATTTTCTTTTTCTTGTTTAATTGCTTCAGATTAATGTTATATATCCAAATGTATTTTTTGTTAAAATCGATCAAATTAATTATACATACTTTCACATAACATTAATTGCTGCTTTTTATCTGTAAGGTACATGTAGAATATATATTTCTTCACTTTATTTCTATATTTAAAAATGAATTTAGGATTGCCACGGTTTTTTAGATTAAAGGAAGAAACATATTTTTTGTTTGTATTTTACTAACATTAAAAAGACGCTTGTGCACAAAACATAGACATATTTCTAGCACTAGAAGTATATTAGGAGTCTAATGAGCAATTATTTTTATACTTCCATGAAGTTTCACATATAAATTGTTTTTCTAACAATCGTCTGTGTGAATATATGTTATTTAATTATAGCGATATACAATTTACATCAACTGTTTTATACAAGCGTGATAGGAAAATACATAAGATTCATATACCTACGCAGTCAAATCGTCTAGAAAACTATTAGAAAAACTTCAAATATAGATTTTGAATATTTTCAAATATAATCTACTCGGAAGAGACTCAAAATTAAAAATAAACGTATCGTTTTATTTATATAAATACCGTAGATTTCAGTAGGTGTGTTCACAACATGGTTATCACTTTTGTTTTTCCCTACGTTTATTCCGATTCATCAATCATAAACTAAAATGTGAACGGTGAGCGAAATATATAATCATGAGACTTACAACCATTCATATATGATTTTTACATGTCATGAGTGATCCAAAGATGCTAACATATACTGTTACTGACACGTCCTGAATAACTTTACAATTAAATGAATCACACAAAGCATAAAATTCTACATGTTTTTAAAATCTGTTCTAATGACAATGCGACGAGATAAAAAATAAATAAATATATTTAAATTCTAAAGGGAGTTGGACTTGAATAATGTTGAATTACAAGTGTGGGGTTGGCTACTGATGGGGCCTTAGGTGAGCCGTTTTTGTAAAATTCGTAATTTGCATGGCTCACGTTTACATATATACATCTTATGTTTATTTTCCAAGTGTAGAAATTTCTTCTTTTCTTTTTTGATAGCGAAACGTGATTCTGCAAGCAACTACTATCCTGAAGTATATTTTTGTATCGATGATAATTATTTTTGTAGCATTCATGTTAATAGCTCTCTCAATAGATAGATTAGTTATTTTCGAATATATATTTACACATATATATCCCTATCTTTCTCTCTCTCTCGATTATTCTCTTAAACGTTTGTTCGTTTAATGTTTGAGATTATGTTTGTGCATGCATAGTAACGTTATATTTGCTTGCAGAAAGATATATCTCTCTGTGTATACTATCTTTCAAAGAGACGCGCGAGAAGAAGAGCGTGCAAAGCAAACTGCGATTTTACAATGTCAGTATAGGTTTGGTAATTGTTAGAAAAACAATTTAAGAAGAGAGTAGGCGAGATGCAGATACCAGTAGGACTTTTGATGGTGGTGGTGCGTGGGGTATCTTCATATTTCTACTAACGTGACGTGTTCTATTCTATTGAATTTTATGTTTTCTATATACTTTACTCTCTTATCTACATCTTTCCGTTTGATGTAGATATTAATTTATGTTAGTTGTCGTTTCGTAAAATGCTGATATGCGTTTTTTCTCGAAAGATGAAATTTGAAAATATTTTTTTCACAATTAATATAAATCTTATTCTATAAACAACATAAATTTTAATTTTGTACTTTAATATGCATTCTTTAAAATTAAAATTAACTTTATCCTTATTCCAATATGTGTACGACAAATTGATATTTATAACAAAACTTATGTCAGCATTGTTAGAGAATGTCAAAGTTAGTTATTTAGTTAAGAATGCATATGCTAGTTATTGATACGATATATATCGATTGTTTTGTATTAGATGCTATTTGATCTTGTGACGCTATGTTTCGAACACTTGGAAAGTAAATTAATCTTCATCTCTCATTAGATTATAAATATACAGCGTGTATTGCGTGTATTAGTTAAAATGTTAATAATGTTTAAACAAAATAATAATTCATATATTTTTTATACAAATAACGTTTTTATACAAGCAATTGTTTGTATTAACATTTGAACTACACGCTGTATATTCATACAAACTTAGTAATGCAATTTTAATTTTTTTTTTGCTTTGTTTTTTTCTGATTTTTTTTTTTATATATAGTTTAGTTGCAAGATATAGTGTTAGCAAAAATATCATAAACATTCTATAAGGATGTTTCTTTTCCCAGAATGAATTTTCTGTTATACTTTGAGGTAATAGTGCCAAATCATAAAAAATGTCATATTTTCCTTTGTATAAAATTATATTTATGCAATGGAAAATACAATTAAAAAAAGATTTTAGAATTTATCTATAAGCATAGATGTTTAACTGTATTAAATTCAAAGAATTTGATATGTTAGTCCCACAGATAGAGGTGAATCCATAGTTTGGTGTAGCTATAATAGTAATTTAAATTAAAGCTAGTATGTACACTGCAGTCCGTCCTATTATCTACATTTGGGGTATCCACGACCAACAGGGTTTCTTCGCAGTAGGAGAGAAAAACGAAAGGAAAAGAAGGCAAAGAAGAAGAAGGATCTCGTAGAAACAAGCAGCAACAAAGAAGAAAAGTCTGACCTGTCAGTATATGCATGCACAGCAGACCTAGTGCACATAGAGTCAGTTTCACAACCAGCATAAAGTATCGCGCACACAAACACATCTATCCTCTTTAATATATATATATATATATATATATATATATATATATATATATATATATATATATATATTTATTTTTATATTTACTCATAAACGAATGTTTTGTCGTGTGTTGAAAATGCTCGAAGAGTTTTTGCGAAATAGTAAAAAAAATTGTGTAACATATAAGTTTTAGAATGGATAATTCTTGTTGATAATTTCTCCAAAATTTCTGTACGTAATTAATTATTATATTTTTGTAATTTATCATGTCGCAAATCTGCTTACATTACAATAAAGGCTCCGTAAAACGGATCGATATTGAAACGAAAATCTTATTTGCTAAGTAAAGCTCTACCATAAAAAAAGTAAAATCGATACGGGAAATATATTTTTGTGTTACAGCTTGTCTCTTATGTCTTTAATATATTATAAATGCTTTTTAATAGCAATAAATATACGTAGATTAAGAAAACTGTATTTTCACTATATGAAGCACAAATTGCGAACAAATGTATTTGCATTATCTATTATTTATCCTTTTTATAAAAAAAAAAAAAATAATTGCAAATTGATTATATCAACAAGAAATAGCACAAGCTTTCTTTTTTTTCTTTTTTTTTTAAATTTTTCTCATTTTGTATTTTTCTCGATAAATAGAATTGTGTGAAACTGTGTCGTGTATCGCGTTTGCTTTTGCATTGTATCGCAGGCAAAATATACTTACAGTCCGAATGTGTTTAGTAATTTTTTAATAATATCTAATTGAAAGATACACACATCCGTAGAAACTTCTTTCGAGATGTTTAGCATAACACAAGCTATTCGATTAAGAATAAAGTATACGATTGCGATCAATATCGTTGCGCTTTTAAAACGCGCGACAAAGATCTAGCGGATCGTAAATGACAAATGTGTCATTGATAAAATACGCTTGCTCGTGATAGATATAAAAGTAATTGTTTCTTTACCGCGGGAGTGTTACAAGTTTGGGGAAGAAAAAAATACATTCTTATATAATGAGGTGTTAATTGAGTAATTTACACATATTGTGTTGCAATAGAAGATTTTCAGCGCGTTTTTTGTGTGTATTGGGAAGTACATGAAAAGCATGTTATTGATAAAAATATTCAAGAAACACTTCGTTGTGCGGCTTATTTGATATTTAAATCGCTGATTTAACGTTTAAACTCCCCCTTTCTCTTATCGAGGGTCCACCGTCAGTTTCGTGTGTCCCTTTACTTCTAACGAAATAGGATTATTATTATTAATAATAAAAAGTCTATATAACATTGTTAGAGAAATTATATAGTATAATCCGTTTATTTCACATGTAAATTGGATCGATCTCTGATGTGTTTTCCGATACTTATTTCACTATAACTCAAATCATCCAACTGTCAACAACTATAACGTTGTTATATCGTCGTTGTATAATTGATGAGCTTCTCTGCTGATTAATGTATAAATAAGAGAGAGATAATAGTCATTGCCCCGTTTGTTTTAAACGGTAGAAATAATCAGTAGTCGTCAGTGGATTGTATATTCATAGATCCTGATGGCAAGGATAAAGCGATCCTATCTTTAATTTTATTTCTTACAATGATATATATTTTTGTTATTGGATATGTAGATTAATAAAATCTCGAATAGTAAGTCTGG